TCTGCTCCCCTGCATGCCCTCCGGGGAGCTGCGAGACGTCCCCCCCCCCCCCCCACCGACCCACAATCCCGAGGGACGGCACGAGGACACACTACAAGACTTTGTCAGATTTTTTTTTAGACCGCACCAGGGACGGACCATCAGAAATATCCAAGAACATACCTTGACCTGACCTTGACACCAACTCCCAGTCGTCGCAGTTAACCAAACATTTCAGAGCCAAATCTAGCAGCCAATGAAACTGAAGCTGGGTCAGAGTGCCCTGGACCACAGATGCTAAGGAACTGAAGCGCTAGCTCTCATTGGTTTGACAGATCATGTGACCTCGAGGCTACTAGCGCAAGCGCTCCAAAACTTGTTGTGTAGTGTGTCCCCCGTACCGCGTCCTCCTGTGACCTCGGCCCTTATTATAGCCGCGCCCCAGAAGTTGATCCCTGCACGGTGGCTCAGAGGACAGAAGTCTGAAGATATGTACAACCGAGGTACCGTCGCGTCACTTGCACCGAGTGAAGAACAGTTCTCCGCCGGGAAGTGACGAGTCCGTGTACCGACTATTTCTCGTTCCCTGTGAGTCCTCGTGTTCTCCAGGCGTTGGATTCGTTGAAGGTATAAGTGGCGGACACCGCTTAGGAGATCGGACCGGAAACCTCGCCGCAGTCCACGAGCCTGGGGGGAAACGGCGGGACTCGACTCAAAACCTCTCCTTCAGAAAGCTTTCTTCTCCAGCCGGTCCAGAATCGCTTGGATCTTCTGCACGGCCTCCTTGCGGGCGTGTCGGACGCTGTCCTGACCCCGTGTCTCCACGGAGTCCAGCTCCAGCAGCTCTTTGGTCAGCAGTTCCTCGAGGCAGCGGTAGCTCTTGTCCGTCTTTCTGCCCACAAACTCGTCCACGTCTTCCTGCAGCAGCATCACCCGGGCCATGACGTGCTGCACCTTGGCGAGGCCGGGAACGTGGCTCAGAGGCTGGGGCCCGACCGGACCCGGGGTCGGACCCTGGGCCGGGGTCGGCGGTTCGGCGTTGGGGTCGACTCTCCTGGTTTTGTTGTACATCTGAGGAGAGGAGCTGATTTCGGCCGACTTTCCATTAGCAGCGTTTGACGACGGTGGCGGCCGGGGTTTGGGCGCCACCTGTGGGGTGCGCTGGTGCTGAGGGTCCTATGTTGAAACACAACAACACTGTTTAATATTTGGTAAACATTTGTTACGAGGAGCATGTATTGGCAGAAATCCGATGATACGACACGTATATACGTATATACACATATATATTGCGATACTACGTTTTGTATTGTTTTTTTTAAATCTGAAACCCTGCTCTCTCACCTTGGGCTGATACGGTGGTGGAGCACCGGTTCCGGTGCCCGGCCAGGCGGGGGGGTGTGCCGGACGGGCAGAGATTCCATAGTGGTTTTGCGACGGCTGTTGACACGGCTGCCACTGCTGCTGCGAGGACCCGTACGGACCGGAGTGGGCCCACGCCTCGGCTTGAGGCCCGGGGTGCAGAGACTGGCCAGAGGGGTACGGTGGGTTTGGGGGCATCGAGTGGCCGCCTTCGGTGTAGTGAGGGTAGGGTCCAGGGGGGTATCCCGACGCCTGAGGAAGACACGTGGGTGTTAAATATGAAATAACAGTGGGGGTGTTTTTCGGGGGTCGTCTCGCATCATGTTTCCCAGGAGTTTTGTGACTCTCCCACCCCCAGAAAAAAAAAGTTTGGGAAACACTGGTCTAGCCCAGATGGGCCACACACACGGTACTCACGCCCTGACAGTGTGGACCAGGGTAGTGCGGGTGATGATGCTGAGAGTGTTCGCATCATGTTTCCCAGGAGTTTTGTGACTTCCCCACCCCCGGAAAAAAAAAAGTTTGGGAAACACTGGTCTAGCCCATACGTGGGTCACACACACGGGACTCACCCCCTGACAGTGTGGACCAGGGTAGTGCGGGTGATGATGCTGAGAGTGTTGCTGCCCAGAGGCTCCGGTTCCCTGCTCGGTGGTGCAGCATTGGTTGGCGTAAGGAGCCGGCGCTGCTCTCTGAGGATCGGCAACGTAGAACGGGTTGGACGGATGGAAGCCACTGGTTGAATACTGACTCTGTGTCGCGTTGTAGACCCCGTGGTCGTTGGGGTAGCCTCCAGGCATCACCTATGGGAGAAAGGGAAGAACACGGGTAGAAATTCAGCCTATGTAGGGTTTGGCTTCCAACGTCATAAACGCGGTCTCGTGGACACGCCTTAAACAGCTCGGCTTTAGGGACTTAGCCAGGTATGGGCCGCACCTGTGGGTTGTACGGTGACGGAACCTCCGATCCGCCCGGGTAGGTGTTGGTGTAGTGTCCGGTAGAGTGGGACTGAGGGTACCAGTAGTGCGACGGGTAGCCTGGATACTGGGAAGCATCCTGTGAACACGGAAGGTCATAACTTACAAAGAATCGTAGTCAAGATCGGACGCCGGCAGCAGCCGACGTCACGATCGTAGTTTTATTTGGTGTCCAAAAAAAAAAAAAAAAAATTACAAACCTGTTCCAAACCTGAGCTTTTTTTTCATAAATAGCAGAAACTTTTTACTGCAACGTCAACTACGGGTTTATTTTACGAAACTAGCATGGTTTCGCAGATATAGATTATTTATCAATTTTTTTCTATTTTTTAATTTTTTGTATCAAAATTACTTTAATTTTATTTTTAGACTCAACTACAATTTTTTGGATGGGAAAAAAAACGTTACGCGATGTTTTTGTCAACACCGTAACACAATATCGTATGGAACACAAATCGATATGATGATTTTTTAAAAAAAAAAATAACCAACGCTGGGTTTCGCATTTTGCTCCCGTCTGTTTAGCGTGTTAGTTTATATTCGCTAGCAGCTCTAGCGCTAGTGTCAGTTAGAAAACTTAACCACATGGTTAACGAAACAGAGTAAACAGACGTAAGCGTCCTTTCGTTCATTCATTGCCTGCTCAGACTCACTGTTTCAACGCAGGTGACCGCCAGGGGGACACGGGCCGCTGGTAAATGTGTCACGTGTGTCTATTAAACACACGTTATTATCGCTGTGGTCACGTCACGATAAAACGTGACAGAACTAAAGCTTAAGGGTCAAGGTACTCATTGCATAACGCTAGCTCCGTTAGCCGTTCGGCTAATACGAACACATATCCGCGGTAAAGTCAGCTTTAGTCAAAATGCCAGTTTGTTAAAAAAAAAAAAAAAAAAAGGTTAATTTCATGAATGAAACACGTCTAAACCTGTTCTTTACGTACGTACTCACCATCGTGTTAATGCAGTTACTATTCCCCGAGTCACAAGTAGAGGGCCAGCCAGACTTCAGCTCTGACCGATGTTGGAGCAACGGCTCAGC